TTTGACTACTGTTATGTTGAGAGGAGATGATCAAAATTGTATAAAATATTCAATGGGATCCTACCTATTTACATTATGGCACAGTAATGTTTTTACTATTCCGCACCCCCCCCCCACCCCCCGACGGTATTATTCCTCCAAACATTTATTTTGCATTGTTTGATTGCTGGTACCTACTGAGAAGATGCATTGAAGTTGCTCACAACAGTTCTCAGGCCCTACGCCCCACGGAGATGACAGTTAATATTCTGTAGCTACTGAAGGTAAACACTTACACAAATGAGTTACTGAGCTAAAACCAATCCTTTAAACTTCACTCATTTTACTAAATGATATATGCAAGTATTTGAAATCACTCTTCCAATGTCTATCATCTTTCATTGTTAGCATTAAATCCTGGATGCCCTGCTTGTGCTATCCATTCACATATCTTTGTTAGGTCCTTTTGGATTTCCTTATCTATTTCTAGTATCATCACACCTGCAAGGTCTGAGACTTGCTGGACTAAACTGAACATGCACGCAGGGAAATAGTTCCTGTCTTGAGGAGCTTATACTAAACCATTGAAACAGCTTGCGGGCAATTTTTGTGTCATTGTTCATGCCCACTGCTTGGTGTAAATAAGCATATTCAACACCAGCGGTAGAAGAAAAATTTCTGGCACCCTACCAGTGGCCTTTTGCAGTATTGAAGGGAACTTTTAAAATCCTTTTCTTTTGTCTCAGCCAGTTTCTAATCCGTAACACAGCTTTACCTTTCACCCCATGATTGCTTAGTTTTCTGTTTTCTTAGTGCTTCTTGTGAAAGACTCTGCCAGATTTTGGGAAAGTCCAGCTGTGTTGGCTAGTTCTCCTTTTTCCATTGTGTCACGCACATACTCACAATTCAGTAGATGCTATAGGTATTTCCAACCTGTGGGTTTACCTACTGCTGTAGTTATCGGAGGCACTAAAATGCTTAAAAACTACTTAACAAGCTATTAAGCTACATTATGATCAGCAGTTCAGATTCAACATACATGTGTGTGGCATTGGGGCAGTTACCATTCCAGTAACTAAAATAAAATAAATAAAATAGATTAAATAATAATTTGTATAAGTATTCCTCTTCCACTCTCTGAAAGTTTTCAGATCCCCAAAGATTAAGTAACTGAAGTTGTGAAGGATACAGCTTTGTCCCTTAAGGAGAAAGTTAAGAACCTAATATAAAATAAGTGATGTTTAAAGGATCAATGCTGGCTCAATAACTAATTTAGGTAGGTGTTCACCTGCAGTAGTAATAGATAATACCTATCTGTGTAGGGTTGCTGCCTGTAGTCAGGTGAGGTGTATTTTATGTTGGGGGTTTTCTCTAACAAGATCCAGTATTGTGCTGCTGGTTTGGTGGGGGGGGGGTGTCTGTACAGCTGTTATAGCTTTCATTTCTGAATTTAAGAATTCTTCTTCTTCCTCCAAGGAACTCTGACAGTTTTAGGACAGATTATTTTTGTCCTCTGTTTAAAATCTGCTACAGAGTCGTAACTTCACCAGATTTTACATGTTGATCATTCTGTCTTGGCTCCTGCCATTTCCTTTCTTTAAGCAGAAGTCCTTCTCCTACTCTTTTGGGCCAAGGGGAAAAAGTAGGAGACATTTCTATATAATTACAATTGTGGATGTCCCCATTTAAAGGATGATCCCATTTCTCACTTTGGAGGTACAAAGCTATGAAAGAATCTCAGTGTAGTTGAACTATGGACCCCACTGTGAATGGGCAATTTTATCACTACTTTCTTGAAAATGCCCTTTCCTTGAGTAGTTAGGTTGTAAATCGAAGCTACCCTGAAGACAGGTGGACATCAGTTTCTGTCTCTCTTGTAGATGATACAAGGATCTGGGTTTGTTGCCATGGACTGTCCTATAGCAGGAGAATTCTTTCCCTGTAAAATACATTGAATAACACTTACCATTTAATCTACCATTTAACCCCTATGTGGGGGTCTGTGGGCCTTATTATGCCAAAGCAATTGCATTTTCTGGTAAACATATATTTGCCTTTTTACGTTAAAAAAGAGAAATCCCTCACCGTACCCAAACGAGAGACTTCAACTTAAACATGTAAGAATAAAAGTACAAGTTTGCTACCTAAAACTTCCATGTGACGCTTTTTCTTGACATTTTGTTGTTTTAGTTGCGTTTTGTCAAATCCGTTCCGCGACTGTGGGAAAGACCCATGTAAGCACCAGAGGGAACTGATTGCCTACATCGTGCTGACAAGTGCACAAAATAAACAATCGGGAAAAAGAGAGAAGCAAAGCTTTTATTTCTCTAATCTTTGTAATATCAGCTGTCCGGGTTAAAAAACCGATGTTGCCAGTGGGTGTTTTGTTTGTAGCCCTTATGCTTTCAGAGCTGACTTTCCTGAACAGGTGTTATGCAGTGCTGTCTTCCTAAGCTTACAGTCAGCAACATCAGCACTGGAACATACAACTTTCTTCAGGGACAACCGAGTGAAAACCAAATCAGTCCTGCTAGCATTTACATGTTCCCTTTCTGAATCATGTAGGCAGCAACGTAACACGAATCTGATCAATTTAATTCTGCTACTGGTTGGGAAAGCAGCAGAGGTAGGCATGGGATTAATTATCTCATGTACTGTAAAAATGACGCTTTCTTCTTCTTTCCTCTTAAAGTTTGGGGCCATGTGCTTGGAGTATTTCATGTTGCAACACTCCTTTTTTGTGAATAGCCTGGTCTTTAATATAACAGATGTTGGCAGAATTTTCCAGCTGTGGAGACCTTTATGAATCTGCTTTCATCTCTGTGCCATTGCTCAAACTCTTGTCCATACCAGATACATTTCTTGCCTTCCTGTTTGCAACTCCCTCTGTGCTTTCTTATCATTCCCCTCTCTCAGCCAAAGAAAATGTCATTTTCTTGAAGACATAATTCCTTTTCAATCATTCTAACCTGTTACCAGAAAAAAGCCCAGTACTGTTTGGTCTTTTGAGAGACAAGACTACAGCCCATCTGCTATCAGGACTTCTTTGCAAGCTTAGACACAGAATTCAGAGACAGTTACTGTTCCATTACTTGATTACTCTTATTGAACACTAAATCAAGATGCAATCATATTTCCCAGTGATCCTTTATTCCCTCTTAGCAGGTAAGGTATTACTACAATCCAAATCTGGAAAAGAGGCAAGAGACAGGCCTATAACCCAACCTTGTATTGATTTATACCCCAAAGCGTAAGAATAAGCACTTGTCTCTGTCTGTCTAGCTATCTGCACAATACAGACGTTTCACCTATACCTGGCTAGGGGAGATGGGGAAGGGAGGAGGCTGGCAGCAGGTTGAGCTGATTTTGCAGCAGTCTTCCCAAAGATTCCCCCTGCTTACACCCAGTATGTATATGTGGCTTATTTAAATAAATTTTCTGATTGGTATTATTCAGTTTTCTTTGTTCCAGTGAGACTTTGGGAAGTGGGCTGAACATGTTTTCCTGTGGACTTGGAAGATGCCAGTGAGTTGGGGGTCTGTGTCCTTGAGGAAAAGCACAGCTCTGGGAAGAAGAACCTCTTCTGTCTTTCCCTCGCCACCTGGGAATGCTCCTTGCCATGTTCTGCTTCTTTTACTTTGCTGCCAGTTCTAATGTCTGTGGAGCTTCACTCTGGAGCAGGCTTTGTGGCCTGCTCCAGCCACACTTCTGCAACTTGACCTTGAAAGTGACCAACGCTGACAACGGGTTAACAAAGACATATTATTATAGTATTCTAGCTGATTATATACCAGTTAATTATTATCAAAAGGCAAAACATCAGTTGTTGCTTCTAGCTTGTGTTGCACACTCTTTCAAAAAGCAGCTCTTCATTCGTGGTCTATTCTAATACAAGTGACTCAATAAACAGATTCTTATTCTACTTTCCCAGGGGCTGCTGCTTATGATTTAACTGAAAACTTACTGATTGTTGAATATATATCACCTTAAGCACATACTCTTCATAACTGAGGCTTTTGCTAGGTCTGTAGTCTGCACTAGTCAGTGTGGTCTGTCAGCCACTGACCAGATCTACAGCCTACAGACCCCTCTCTACCTCCCCTGCATTCTTACATTAACATGCTCTTGCCTTTTGTGGCAAGTTCATGCAGCTTGTTCTCATCTTCAAATCCATTTCGGCTTCACTGAAAACCTTGCACATCTGTCTCAAGTCTGTCTTCCTGAAAGCTTCCTCTATTCTTCCTGCTGTCTTCTGTGCTCACGCTTGGGACTCCATTCCTTGTTTATTCAAGCTGTCAGCCTTTCCTCTTACACATCCCTCCTTACCACCCACCCACCAGCGATTGTGACTGCATGTTAGGCTAAGCTGTATTAATCACAAAAACCTAGCTGACCTTTCAGTGTATTGTGTCACTTCCTGCTTTTGTTTAGACTAGTGATTCTCAACCAGTGTGTCTTGGCATTGTAGAGTGCCATAAGACCCTTTCAAGGGTGCCAAGGAATGCCATGCAATGTTAGCACTGTTAAGTATGCAAGCATGATTCACAAGGTAAACCCAGAGATTTCAAATGGGAATCTATAGCGTCAGAAACATTCTGACCTGTTCTGGCCTTTCTGAGCTCTTTGCAATCTTTCTGTAATGAAAACTGAGAGCTAGCATTCTCTGCAGGGAGCTTGAATTTATCAAAAGAGGTTCCTCAAGTCTAGAAAGGTTGAGGACCACAGATTTAGACCATAAGAGTTTGGGGCTTGGGCCAGTGTCTTCCTCTCTTTCTGTAGTGCTCAGTAAATGACTGAGTTAATTTACAGTGCTCAATAGATAGCTAAATACATCTCTAGGGTCTGGGACAGAAGTTCCATAAACTGGTTTCACCCAGATCAGTTAAGCCTGATACTACGTTCAACCAGGTTTATCTTAAACCAGTTTCAGCCATTTTGAAACTGGTTTATGTGCACTGAACTTATGTTCTGTTGCAGGTTTAAACCACTTTCTGATCACTTAAACTGGTTTATGTGCAACTTCTGTCCCCAGCCCAAGTCTTCAGTACAGTTACAACTGTATAGCCAATTACCATTTGGTTTTTCTTATATCAAATGGAGCTAAAATAAGGTGTATTAATTTATGGGATGCTAAGCCACATTTAGGAGTAGCAGGTGAGGAGGTGCATTGCTAGAGGGAAAAGAAAGAGGATTGAAAGTTGATGGCAGAAGAGAAGTTACAGGAACTAAGATGTGGCAAGGCAAGCATAGCTGAAAGTTCGTGGTAGGTAGTGTCGTTACGCCATGGAGATTAGAAAGACATTTGAGGCAGGTCTGGTGGGGGAGCTTGGAGAGAAGTGACAGTAGAAAGTAACTGCTTGGTCTGTAGGGAGGAGAAATAGGAGTTTCCAAGGAAGAATTTGCGATAAAGCAGAGTAGTGGTGAAGGAAATCTATCCAGTCCTAGGATTTTCTGTGAAGGTAGTCAAGACCAGCAAAAAAACAAATGTAAGTAGTGAGTCAAGGTTGGGATTGTTTGAATTATGAAGGGAAGCAAAATCATCCAAAAGAGCATGGAGGGGTTTAAGATCCGCAAAAGAGTCGGGTTTCAGCGAAGAGTTGCAGTTATGAGGAAGTAAGCGAGTATTATTAAATTAAGCCATGACTAGAGCAGGGAATGGGAGAGTGAACTGGAGCAAAGTAGTATGTGATAAACACCAAATCGAGAGTAATAATGGCCTTGTTTGTTCACCAAAGTAGCTCTGGTTTTGCATAAAGAGGTGACTCTTAAACTTATTGATTAAGCCAATGAAAAGCCTGTGTGACTGCTCATACTACAGTTCAGTTTAAACAGGCCTTATTGGGAGCAGGAGAGTTGAAGGGCCACAGAACTGCAAACCAAGGATGTTTCAGAGGAGTTAGGTAGTACATTTTGACATGTTATCTTGCATGCACGGCATGGGCAGTCAGAGCAAGAAAAAATGGATGCCTTAAATCAGAGTTATAAAGAAAGTTGATCACATTGACTTGGTTACAACCAAGGTACCAGAGATTGTTTGGACCATTCATAAATATAGCAGGTTGCCCATTTTTTGACTGCTTCTTTCCCAAGTTGACCACCTTTGGTCTGCCACCTAAGATAGCATTTAAAATAGCTTTGAAACCTGCAGTCTCTTCAACAACTTAAAAGCATAATCAATTTTAATAAAGTCTGCCTAATAATGACGTAATATTAGATATAGTTTGGAGAATATTGGACCTCTTTTGGACAGTCTCAGCATGAATTGGTTTCTGTGTTTTCCACTGCCTTTTCCAGCTTTAAATAAACATGCTTCTATGATTCTATTTGCTTTCAGTACAATTTTTATGTATTGTTTGGATACATTATTAGAAATTTCAAACTGCTTATACCGTCAATTTTACATGCATACTTGGAAATGATTGATTTTTCTGCACGCTGTCTTCTGAGCTGGGATCATCCTGCAAGTTTGTTATACCCAAAACACAAAAAGATGACTCCTTTCCCCATGGGAGGATATAATGCAACTTTAGTCACCCTGCAGATGTCACAGGTATGGAAAGACCCAAGCTTAATTTCAGCTAATTCTAAGAAATAGTCATTCCTTGCAATCCAGTCCATTCAATTGCTAAGAGCCTGTAAGAGTCCACTTTGTTCTCTCAGAGGATGTGGGAAGGTGGATTATCGCATTCTTAGGTTACGTCAAATACTGCTCTGAGTTAGCCACCATAAGCCAGTTAGAAAAAGTAAGTTTGGAAAATGCTGAGGAGTATGTCCTCTTCCATGTCGCTTCAGCAGGGCAGAAGGTTTTGACCTTGCAGAGTCAGCCCTTTCGTCAGAAGGGCAGTAAGTCTCGGTTTTGGGATGCTGTGCAAGACCATCTCCTAGGACACGGGTAGCTGGCCTGCAGCATGAGTGCCGCAAGCAGCATGGGTAGCCTCTGTGTGGCACGTGACAGATCAGAGAGGGGACAGGCAGCACAGCAGCAGATAAGGCAGGAAGCAGAAGGCCGAGCAGGAAATCATGCAGGGAGCACAGAACAGAAAGCAGAGCAGCATGTTGGGCAGAGAGCACAGAGTAAGAGCAGAAAGCAGAGCAGCAAAGTGAACAGAAGAAGGGGATGGAGGTGGCCCTCAGGGAGGGTGTGGGGCTAATTTGTGGCATGTGCACCAAAAAGTTGGGCCCCGCCGTCCTGGGGCAATGAGCCATATAAGTGTATATTATATCTATTAGGGATATGGAAGGCTTTTTCTTCTAATTGCCCCCTAGTCTTTTCATTAAAGACAAATGGAAAGTCAAATGTTGTAGAGAATTTATTTACCTTGATATAAAAATATCAGCTAAATTGCTGTTACCAAACCTCAGGGAGAATGAACTTGGTGACTGCAGCATAACACACAAACCAATAAGCCATAATGTATCGCCTGAGATGGATCAGAACAGCTTATAAGGCAGCAATAGGAATGAAGACCAAGCTTAAGCTGCTATATTTAACTGTTTGTTCTGAAAGCTGTGAATGTCTCCATCCGCAACCCGCACTCGAGTTGCCTGTCCACCGTATTTTTTTTAGAAAAGAGTCAGAATAAACCTGTGTGTACAAGACAGGCCCAAGGGGTGGGAGTTGCTGCTCCGGTGTTTCTAAAACCCAGGTCCTGCAGGGTTTCAGGAGTTGGCAGCTCTGGACAAATGGACCTTTCAACTGCTTTAAAAGGGAAGGAGAAGTTGCTGCTGTGAGCATGAGCCTTAGCAGGCATGAGGCAACTGTTGTATCAGCAGGATCCTGTAGCAGTGTAACTTTGACCCTGCATAAAGTACCGCTGTAGTTAGAGAGGTTTTGCTATACTTGAAGATCATGCATCATGAAGACAAGATCAAGATCATGAAGATCAAGATTATTATCAAGATCGTGAAGACAAAGCAGTTGCATCCATGTCCTTTGATGTTTGTACAATTGTTAATTCTTTCTGTACACAAAGTTTAGTGCCTCAGTTTGCCATCAGCACTACACCGAGATGCATCCTTGAAAGCAGGTCCACCACAAGAGGCCCCAATGCTTTTGAAGCAGCGAGTTGTTCCTGTGGGGTCTGCAGGGTGAGTGGGCTCTGCTGTTCTCACAGTACTGGCAGAAGTCTGTATTGTTTGTGAGAATTTAGATGACAAGCCTTATTCATGCTGCTGCCAGTTCATTTTTTTTTTCTACCAGTACCAGATGTCCTTAGTACATCTTCCTGTGTGCCCAATTTAATTTTTGGCATACGCTCTCTCTTGTAATGAGTGATTTGTTTTCTGTTATCTAATAGAGCTTGCTTACAGGAAGTTCTACCTGAATCTTCTTTTTCTTAATTTCATTACTGCTGATCAAAATAAGCAATGTGAAAATCCAAAGAGTTCCTGTGACAATCCAAAGAGTTCCTCTCCATCCTCAAGCCCTCCAGGTAGCTGTTGATTACTGTGGTGTCCCCCTGTTAATTAGTGCTTTAGTCAAGGTAGAGATACCTAGTTCATTCATAAGGTCATCCCTTTACACTGGTATTTCTGCTGCCTTCTGAACTCTCTCCTATTCATGTTTTTTTTCCCTCATAACACAGTGCCAAGATATGACTTCTGTGCTTCAGCTGAGCTTGCCCAAGGCTACGTAAAGATGAGTTAATCTTTGCTTTGTGGTATGATGTCTTGCATCTTTGCATTTCTTGCTGTTTTGCATACATATATCTATAGCTGTCTCTATCTCTGTGTCTCTGTCTCCATATCTCTATAAATAGATCTAATATATATCATTGCTCATTTTTATGGTCTTGTGTTTCCATTTATTGTTTATACTGTTCAATTATTGTCCTATGACTTGTCTTCAATATTTTCTTCATTTTCCTAGGTATAGGGTGAACTAGATTGCTTTTAATACAAGGCATAGCTGTATTACTTTGACATTTGTTGAGATTACCACCCAAAGCTAAGCAAGGTCGAGGCTTAGTTAATATTTGGAAGGAAGACATCTTCAGGAAACGTGCCTTACAAGAATGAGATGTCCTTACTCTGATCCTATTCCTTCTGTCAGTGCTGATCCAGTTCTCCAGCCTGGTGTGGCCTTGCATTGTATTTTTGGATGCATAAAAGGCCACCGCCATGAGAGGTCCTGTGCAGCGTGCAAAATAAGAAGACTACCGATGAGAAACTACCCAAACTCCACTTTGGACGACTTGGTTCTGTCTGCTTGAGGTTCTTCTGTCTTATCAATTGGAGACAGGATTTTTCACTTCCTGACACTCTTTAAATATTGTCACTGTGGTCTGTCACTGACTGTATTAAAAATGGCTTGTGGAAATGAAAACCTAATTGCTCTGCTGTCTTCCTGATGATAAGATGTAGGAGGGAACTGTAAAAGATACAAATGAGTGACTTGAATTTCTAATTCTTGGTGAGTTCCTCTGAAGACTTATAAAGGGATGCCAAGTAATATGAATGATCCTAGGCCTTTCTGGAATATGACACGCGGTTGCTACTTGTTGAATGGTTTTGTATGCATACACACAGGCAACAGATTTCTACTGTGTGTATTCATATTTTGAATTTCCTTGGGACCAGATCCAAAGAGGTATTAGGCACCTAAAATGAGACTTGGATGGAATTATAGGTGCTTTAAGTCCAAGAGAGTGAGCCACAGGAGACCCACCTGACCCCTTAGGTAACGCTGAATTTCAGCTACTGTGCGTGTCCAGAAGTGCCACCGTCTTGACAGTGCTGCATGCATTGGTACCTACCTTTAGTCTAAGGCTGCTTGAGAGTCACAAACTAGATGTCTCTATAGAAAGTCCCTGCTGGTAGACATGTTCAAAGCATACCAGCTGCCAGTGTTGTTCAGCTCCTATGGCCACTTCCATTAAAAAAAAAAACAGGCTGAGCAGTAAGTGGTGCCTGCTTTTGCAAAATGACTTAATTGTTAGAATGGTTGCTCTGACATTGGGAGACCTGAGATCTAGGCCTTCCTTAGTCTAGGTGAGGAGGTGTTAAGGGCATTCTCCAGCCCTCCTGTTCGAGAAGCCAAGCCATTGTGCAGAGAATGCAAGAGCCATGATCTCCATGTGGTTGATGAGAGAGAGCCTGACATGGGGGAGAGGAAGGAGATGAGAGTAATCCTCTCTGTCCGCTAACACTGCTTATGCATTTCATCTGATGGCTCTCTAATGCAGAATGCCTAAGGAGGCCCAGGAGTCCGCTGTTCTCGCAGGGGGATGCCCTCTTCATGCAGGTTCCCTTTTGCTTACCATGTCTCTGATCTCACGATTCTTTCGTTTGTTCCTTTTTGCATTCAGCAGCACAACTTTAGCAGGGGACAGCCTCTAGCCTGGTGGTTAGGGCACTTTCCTGGAAGGTGAGGGAGGAGGTGTGTGTTGAGTCTTCTCTGGCTAAGCAGGGCCTCCTACGTCCTGGGTAATGACCCTTTAGAGTTCTGTAACATGCTGAGAGGAAGCACCAGCATGTCTGGAAAGAAAAGAGGAAGCTATTCCTTCCTAATCAAAGGCTGTCCACATCTGGGAGGGGGTTTCAAGCTGACCCTGTCTCATATTGGTATCTAGCAAGGGAAGGGAAGTGGGATTTTATATCTTTCCCTCTCATTCCTGTTTCTGTTTACTTGGGTAGGGTGTTATGAACTGTAGTCCTCCCTGCCTAAATCTTCCCATTCAAAGCATAGAAAACTTAGGCACCTCCCTTAGGTTTGTGGATTTGCCTCTGGAGCCAGACCTCTAAACTTTGAGTTGCTGCATCCCACAGGGCCCGCACACCCAACTCCCTTCTGGGCTCTAACTTGGAGATGTTACGATGGTGGTAGGTGCTAACAGTTACTCCTTTCTTAGATATAAAGGTCTCGTTTTGTATTCTTTTTGAGGAGTCTTTCAAACCCTTTTCAAGTTCCTTGCCTTCTGTATCAGGGATATTTGTTGTAGCCGTGTTGGCCTAAAGGCATAGGCAGACAAAACTCCTGGAGTAGAGGCGATATCTTTTTTTAGACCAACTAGATAATTGCAAAAATGTTACTTTATTTGCAAGCTTTCAGGCTCAAACGCCCTTCTTCAGGTAAAAGAGAATTCAAAGATTGTAAAATTTCTCCCAGATAGAAACAAAACTTCATATTGCACAGGAGAACTAAAAGATGCCTTCTGCATTTGATTTAAGGTCCTCCATGGTACCTTTTGCACCTATGCATAAGTGCATTTCCACCTTTTTTTTTTTTTTTTTTTTTTTTTTTTTGTCTATTCATTTTGTCTCTTCCGCTGTTGGAGCCGTATAACTCTCAACCCTTCTTTGCTGCTTTTTTCTTTCTCTCGTGCTCCATTCCCCATGTTCATCCTTCTCTTTCCGTGTGCTGTCAAGGCCCTCCCTGCGTTAGGGCATCTCATGAGACATGTTCAGAGCGTGCCAGCCACCAACTTGCGTGTTGTCTCAAGCACCCACGGCTTTAAGAGGGAAGATACCTGATACCGAACTCACTACTGCAATTAGGCACCAGACAAATACCTACTGTTTCAGATACTCCTGAATCTGTAACCTTCTTCCCATTTTTTTCATCCGTATCTTGGGTATCTGAATAGTTGTTGGTTAGTGTCTACTAGAGCTATCTGAATGAATTGCCAGAACTCAAAGGCATGATACAGAAATAAGTACCTAGCACTTAATTTTTGGCAGTAGCTAGATTTTGAAGTCACTAGTGCTAAAAAAAGATAGGCCCTTCACTTGTTATGATGTCTTCTGGCAACCTTTACAGCTACTATTTTCTTCTCTTGGTGTTGTGTGTTTATTCCCCACTGTAGGGAATACATTGAAACTGGCTATGCAGAAGGATATAAAATGTTCTAAGTCTTTAATTTTAGACCAGTCATCTTGAAAATTACTTTGAAAAATAATTAATGCAAAGTTGGTGTATCCTTTTCAAAGCATGTTTAAAAATATAATGCCCCCTTCCCTGTTGTTTGAATTGGTGTCATAGAATATAGATTTGTATTGAAAAAACACATGGCGTGTTTGTTAGTGCTGCTTGCAAGTCAGCTTTTCTCTACAACAAAAATAAATTAACAGGAAAGGTTTCCTTTTTACACCCTCAGACACTATAATTAACTTGCTATTTTCACCCATTTTTCATGTCTCTTAGAAACTACAGCAGAGTCAAAATTTTGCGCTTGTCCTTGAGAGAGAGAACATTTTAACATCTGAAAGGATTTTCACAGTCCATAAATCTACCATTTATCCTTGATACAAACATGGGAATAAAGGATTCCTTAACACTGAACAAATTAGACAGATCGTTTTGCCAGAGGATTAAGGTGGCATTCTACAGTTTCCTTTCTTTTTCACGTTTACTGAATTTTGTATATATTGCAGCTGATTATAATGTATTCAGCATATTTGATTTTATGCTTAGTTTCTTCTGTTGGCTGCATCTTGTAGAAAATCGACTCCATTTTCTAGGCTTGTTGATTTTTATTCTACGAAATCCTTTTTCATGTCAATTGTAGAAGTAAGTTTCCAATTTGCAAGTTAGCCTATTTTTTTTTTTTTTTTTTTCCCTCCCCAGGAAATAAATATACATGAGCCAAGTTTTACAAAGTGATGGGTGCCCTATTACTCTACAAAAGCAATCGGGACTTGTGGTAGAGGTGATATCATTTATTAGACCAACTATATTTTTGCAAAAGCACTCCAGTTTTATTAAAAACAAACAAGTAATTTTTTTTGTTATTTGTACCCCTTTTGTATTTTTCAGCTCTGTACCTTCAACCTTGCATTGTAATGTCTGAATACATTTGGTGCTGCTTTTCCTCTTGTACAGAAACATGTGCACTCTGGTGCTATATACATTTATCTGAAAGGCTGTAAACTGTTTTACGAATGATTATACATGCAAAAACCAAATAGGCATCAGCATGTTCTAGAAGGTAGAATTACTCATTGTATTTTCAAGATAGAAATGAAGCTGTGTTACAATTACAGTTATACTTCCCAGGACAGAACTGGGAGGTATAATTGTCTGTGGATATTTGCATACATTTGATTTTGTTCCTAGTACATTCCTGTAACTGAACGTCCTTGGCAAATAAAACATCAGTTTGGATCAATACTGGTTATTAAAATAGGCTTGCAAAATTGTTGTGAAAATTTGCAAGGCCAGACATGACATGTTGTCTGCTCCCCGCCCTGATTACAGATTAAATTAACATTTTCCATGGTGTTGGAAAGGGACTTTCTGGCTTATGGAGTTCAGTCTCCTGTTATTGAAAGGAACGGGAGCATATAACCCTGCTTCTAAACTTGCAGTGTGCCATCTTAAAACCAGTTGGAGATCCTATCCTGATCAGTCCTGGTAGAACCACTCTCTATGTTAGAAAGCTTGTCTCAGTTTCTAGCTTAAACTGATTCCAGGCTAGTTTATACCCATTTGCTTTTGTGCCTGTGTTTATCCTTCAGCTCAAATAGTCCTTCTCCATCTCTGGTATTTGTCCCTGATGTATTTATAGAAAGCAATTCTATTCCCTCTCAGCCTTTGTTTTGATAGGCAAAGTAAGCCAAGTTTATTAGAGTTTCCTCTCCTAAGCCTCTGTGTTTTCCCCCCTGATCGGCCAAGCACCCCTCCTCTCCATCTGTCCCACTTTGAACCTTCCTTGAACACGGGCGGCAAGAATCATTCATTGTATTCCAGGTGAGGTCTCATCAGGACTTTGTACAATATCATTAATATTTCCTTCTCTTCATTAGAAGTACTTTACCTTATACATTCTAGGTTTCCTTTTTCATAATTAAATCTCATTGGTGGTTCATAGCCCTCCTGTGATCAGCTACTACCTCTAAACCAGGGGCAGGCAATTATTTTGGGCAGAGGGCCGTTTACTGAGGTTTGGCAAGCCATCGAGGGCCACAGGACAGGCAGCTCAGGGCAGATAAGGGGGTCATTGCTGGGGTCGTTTGACCCCACTGCTCTTTCCTGCCATGGCAGGGGGTCGGACTTGATGATCTGTCAAGGTCCCTTCCGACCCTACAAACTATGAAACTATAAATATTAATTTTCTAAATTTTTTTAGGGGCCCTGCGAGCTGGATAGAATGGCCTGGTGGGCTGCACTTTGCCCACCCCACTATAAACCTTCCTCCTTGCTGTCATTCCTAACAGATGAGCCTCCACCGTCTAGCAGAAATTCTGGCTCTGAGTCCTGAAATGCATGACTGTGTTTTATACCATTTATTTTATCCCATCTCTGCTCTGGCTCTTAGTGTAATTGTTTCTTCTTGCATAATATTTACATACGTTTCTTCCCAACTTTGTCATCAGTAGACTTCATTAGCCCTTTCTGACGTTTGTGCCGCGATCACTAATGAAAATATTGAACCAGCTTCTCCCCAACACCAGTCCTTGAGGAACTCTGTTACT